CACAGCTGCCCGTAAGAGAATGCATATCATCTACATAAAGTATATGTAGGGGGTCAGTTCTCCTAATGTAAAACATATGAAACATACGGAAATGATTACTGTGCTGAGGGCACACATTCTCTGCATGTTTAAGCTTGTAATTTGCCTTCAATTACATCATATAGCGCTCTTGTTAAGTTTACATCATAATATAGAGGAAAGGAAGCACTGGTCCAGCATTTTAATACACACTTGTCACGCAACAAAAATTTAACTTTTATACTTACTTTTGTACCATACAATTCCTCATTCTCATTTTGTCTGTAGTAGATGGATATGATGACAATCCTATAAAAGTGTATTTTTATTTTTTTTAATGTTCAGGCCTACTTCTTGCCTAGACTGCAGTTATTGTAACTCCAAAGCAAACGCTTTCACTGCAAACTTAGCACTGCTCACTGTTGAGCCATATAGAAGTAATTACTGCCATGAGTGCAGGTGTTGGAAATTTTGGTTAGCAAACACGGCAGATATACCAGCCATGACTTTCGGTACTGGTTCTTCCTATGTTACAAAGGCAACAAACTCCCTAACCTGTGGCCTAAGCCACAGCCATGTCGCTAAACCCTACTCGCCATCCACCAATGAGAATACTTTAGTGGTCAGTAAGGGCTTATGTTGGAAATAGGCAGTAAACGTCTGAAGTCTGGGTTTGGGACTGAAGTGGATGACACAACTTGCCACATGGGGCATAAACGAAAGATTTGCATGTCTTCACCCACTATCTTTTTTTGGTTTTGTGGTCAAAGAAATTACATGTAAATATACCAGTATGAAACTGGTCAGCCCTAAAACAGGAACAACTGTGCTAGAATGCGGGCACCTTGTTCATGCATACCAACATTCTTAGATAAGAAAGAGGGCACCTTCCAAACCATTGTATATAGACAATGGACACACTGCTGCCACTTCCCCCGTTATGCGTTATTAGTGTAATGAGCGGTGTGCCTCAGGGTTCTGTGCTGGGTCCCATATTGTTCAACTTACATTAAGAATTTATATGAGAAAAATTATTGGGTAAACCCAGAATTGTTGTTTTCCACCATTACTTTTCCTTTAGATTGGCCTTTGGCAAACAAGATAATTAAGAGATAGGATGCAGGTTTTAGTGCAGATTAACCGTTTTGGTAGTTAGATGGAACCTTTTCATAGATATCTGTACATTGGACCAAAATGAAGGACAACTGGAGAAGAAAGAAGCAGAGGGATTTGGTTCCAAATGAGTCGTAGTTGTGAGTTATGCGTGTTGTACCTGTGACGGTCTTCAGATTGGTCTTGCTTCCCTGTGGAACCCTTAGACCAGTGTTTCTCAACCTTTTTTTTTTTTTAGGCATGGCACGCTTTACAAGTAAACAAAATCTTGAGGTGCCCCAGTCTAAAATGTAAATACCGTAAATGTAAAAAAAGACATGGGGTCCCTCCAAAATCCTTACAAGACCACTATCCCAGACATGGATCTAGAATGGATATTAAGGGGGGACCCCATGCAAGTACACAATCAGAGTGCCACCTTTTACATCAGGAGCCCCCTCATTTCCCATCAGTGCCCCTTTTCACATCCCTGTTTCTAAGAGACCCTCTTAATATCAAAAGTCCCCCTTCACCAGGGGGGCATGAAGCTGTGTGAAAAATTTGAGGCAAACCTTAGGAAGCCAGAAGGCACTCTTGCATGCCACACCACCCTTGTTGAGAAAGGCTGCCTTAGACCCTAGAGCTAGGCTGTATTCCTAGCACCTTGACTTTCAGTCAGTGGGACAGATAAACTAAGATTGGCGGTTGTTGAGGAATTCAAAATTGTGGCACATGACATCTTATTTTGGCGTATTGTATGTCAATGAAACTATCATGTCACGACGCATCTGGTTTATTTTGGTAGAAAGTATAACTGTCTTGCACCATCATTCCCTTGGTGCACTAATGCAAATCTCTATTGTGCCAAATATCAACAAACTCAATTTCTAAACTATTATTTATTTGGTGCAGATTGTGAGACTTTTTGTGCGAAGCAACAAAGTCCAAATCCCATTCGCACTGCCACGGTCTCAAAACCACAAGGTATATGTGGTGCCCAGGTGACCACACGGATGGCGCCATGCAAAACACTAATAGTACATAAAAGTAATTCACCGGCACACACTTGAAGGGTTTTTAAAGTATTGATATGTTTATTCAATACCCAATGTCACATACTGTCATACAGTGCTAACGTTTCGGGTCCGCACAGGGATCCTTCATCAGAGCCTGCTTTTATTTTTGTGCGAAGTGTCGCTCTTGGAATATTTTTTCAAATGGTGCGGTAGTCAAATCTTCCATTTCCAGCACTTCAAATGGAACTATTATTTGATGCATTCAAATCAGATTTCTGTGCGCCACATATTTGGTGTATCGACAATAGTTTATCCAGTCCATTATAATTGAACTTTCAAAGGCCCCAGCTTAAGGGGGGCAACAAGAAAGGGTGGAGCTTAATCTAATTTTGGGCACATACACACACACTGCATTCGGACCCCCTTCACTCTTTTTGATGTTGTTATGTTGCAGCCTGATACGACGTTGTTTAAATCCTTTTACCGTATATACTCGAGTATAAGCCGACCCGAATATAAGCCAAGGTACCTAATTTTACCACAAAGAACTGGGAAAAAATATTGACTCGAGTATAAGCCGAGGGGGGCATTTTTCAGCACAAAAAATGGGCTGAAAAACTCGGCTTATACTCGAGTATATACGGTATTTTTGTTTTCATTAATCTACACTCAGTACCCCAAAATGACAAAGTGAGAACTGAATTTATTAGAAATAGAAACTGAAATATCACATTGACATAAGTATTCAGACCCTTTGTAACAACACTTGATATTTTAGCTCAGCTGCCTCTCATTTGTCTTGATTGGAGTGTTTTTCTACACCTTGATTGGAGTCCACCTGGGGTAAATTAAATTGATTAAACATGAGTTGGAAAGGCTCACACCTCTCTATAGAAGGCCTCACAGCTGACAATGCATACTGTATCGGAGCCATGAGGTCAAAGGAACTGCCTGCAGAGCTCAGAGACAGAATTATTGCAAAGCACAGATATGGGGAAGTCTACAAAAAAAGTCTGCTGCACTCAAGGTTCCCAAGAGCACGGTGGCCTCCATAATTCTCAAATGGAAGAAGTTTGGCACTACCTGGGCTCTTCCAAGAGCTGGTCGCCTGGCCAAACCGAGCAATCGGGGGAGAAGGGCCTTAATAACAGAGGTGACCAAGAACCCGATGGTCACTCTGACTGAGCTCCAGAGATCCTGTGTGGAGATGGGACAAAGTTCGAGAAAGGATGACCATCATTGCAGCCCTCCACCGATCTGGCCTTTATGGCAGAGTAGCTAGAAACACATGAAAGCAAGCTTGGAGTTTGCAAAAAAAAGCACCTGAAGTACTCTTGGACTGTGAGGAACAAGATTCTCTGGTTTGATGAAACCAAGATTGAACTGTCTGGCCTCAATTCTAAATGGTATGTCTGTAGGAAACCAGGCACCGCTCATCACCTGCCCAATACCATTCCAACAGTACAGCATGGTGTTGGCAGCATCATGCTGTGGGGGTGCTTTTTAGCAGCAGGGACTGGGAAGACTGGTCAGGGTTGAGGGAAGGCTGAATAGAGCAAAGTACATAGATATCCTCAATGAAAACCTGTTCCACAGCGCTTAGGACTTCAGACTGGGCCGAAGGTTCACCTTCCAACATGACAACAATCCTAAGCACACAGCCATGACAACACATGAGAGGCTTAGGGACAACTCTGTGAATGTCCTAGAGTGGCCCAGCCTGAGCCCTGACTTGAACCCTATTGAATATCTCTGGAGAGACCTGAAAATGGCTGTCCACCGACGGTCCCCTTCCTACCTGACTGAGCTTGAGAGGATTTGCAAAGTAGAATGGCAGAAAATCTCCCAATCCAGGTGTGCAAAGCTTGTTGCATCATACCCAAAAAGACTAGAAGCTGTAATTGCTGCCAAAGGTGCTTCAACAAAGTACCGAGTAAAGGATCTGAATACTTAAGTACATGTGATATTTCAATTTTTTCTTTAATAAATTCACAGACATTTCTAAAATTCTGTTTTCACTTTGTCATAATAGGATACGAAATGTAGATTAAAGGAGAACTATGAGGCGAGTGAATATCACTCAGCCTCATAGTTCTAGCCGACCTGTGACAATGAAACTGTCACAGGTCGGCTCAATAAATCAGGGAGTGAGCGAACACACACCGTCGCTCGCTCTCTTCTCGATCTATCTCTGCAGAGAGCCGTGACTGTCACTCACTGCTCCCTGCAGGGATTCCCCCACTCCCCTGTCTGATCCTCCAGCGCTGACTGGCAGGAACGGACGGGGGAGGGGGCGGGTACAGCTGGCTCTGCCTCTAGAAAGGCAGAGCCAGCTGTCAATCACGCAGCTGGGTGGATCTCGACGGTGATGTCGTGATCCGTCCAGGCTGCGGCGTCTCAATATACCGCAAGCTGTAGCTCGCAATATACTGAGCTTTGGGTGACGGGAGGACGCTAGTTTGTGTCCTCCCGTTACCCTTAGGAGGATTATGGGGAAAAGCCCTAACCCCATTCTCCCCAGTTCTCCTTTTAATGAGAAAAAAAAAGAATTTAAACAGCTGTAATATCGGGCTGCAACATGACAAAGTTGAAAAAAATGAAGGGGGTCTGAATACTTTCTAAATGCACTGAATATTTACACACACTAATGTACAGTAACCTATGGCAACCAGGAGTTTACTTTTGGCCGTCCAATCAGAATTATAACCTGATCCATGTCATTGTCAGGCTTCTCTAGGCTGTCGGTTGCTGTGTTGTAATGTTTGTTTTGTCTTTTTAGAACTAAGTGAAAACCTCTAAATGTTGAAATCATTCTTTCTGTTTACAGAGGAAAGTTCGTAAGTAACAATAGTTGTCTTTGTGTTTTTGTTGTAGGAATCTTTCAAAAAAGTACCAGACAAAGAAGAACTCCAAAGAAGAGGAAGAGTCAAAGTGAGTGTCACGTTTTTTTGGATGGGTGGTGAGCTGGTATGGGGTGACACGTGATTGTTCTCTGTGCAGGGTGCAGTCAGGGAAGCACATAGAAATTCAAAGGATGCTGATGTGTGACTTGTCTGGTTGTCTACAAGGAAACTTCCTCTGAATATGCAATATTTGATCTAGATGTATTCTGTATCGCACACTACAGCATTGTATAGTATCCCAAAACAGCCAATCAGCAGAATAAACAGACCCAGCTGGCTTCTGATTGGTTGCTGTGGAATGTAACCATTGTTATTTGCACCTTATGCCAAGTACACATTTATTATAGATTTTTACAGGAGGCCATGTTGTTGTTTTCAAGTTATGTAATATGTCTAGCAGTAGTTTTACAAACTGGAAAATCAAAATCTACCACAAGACCATACAAAGATGAGAACCCGGTGTGAGCCTTGTCACGTGGCGTTATTTCCAGTGTTATTTTTGTAGCTTCCTCTCCCTTTTTTCACTTCTCATAGCAAAAGTTTACGGTCTTAATGCAATCCTTTAATTTTACTCTCATAACGGTCCCTATCGTCTTATACTCGCATGCCTACGCTCCTGCCCGATCCAATCTATGCAGCCCACGGGAGCCACACAGTCGCTGCTGCTAACTCTTGATTGGTACCTCACTTCTCTTGTGCATGTGTGGGAAAATCCCATTCATTCCTATAAAGAGGCCACCTGTTTTTGGGATACATAATAGACAGCCTCTTTATATGAATGAAAGGGATATAAGAAATATTGGACCATCCAGGAGAGTTTACAGCAGTGGCTATGTGTCAATCAATGGGGATCTGGCAGGAGTGTGGATAGGTGAGTAAGGTCTCATGCACATGGCTGGAGTAAGATCTTATACACACAGGTGGATTTTTGCGGCAGGAATCCCAGGTGTGTCCATACAGATGCTGCTGCTGTACCCATTCAGGTTAAAGTGACATTAAACCCTCAGATTTTTTTACATAAAACAATACTGTAATGTGTGCCTTACTGTAATCCATGGTAGTTTCCCTTCTCTTTGCTGCTCTTCCTTTTAAATCCTCATGTCTTCTCATGCTTGGGGAGAACTTCCCTTTTCAGCTCAGGGCCTCTTCCTGTAGTGCTGGCTCAGGTTACAAGCCTATAGAAACGTATACACAGACACCGGGTATCCATTTCTGAGACAAGGCAGTCTGCTGCAAAACAGAAGTTCTGCACAGCATGAGAACAGATACAGATTTAAAAGGAAGAGCAGCAAAGAGAAGGGAAACAACCATGGATTACAGTAAGGCACACATTACAGTATTGGTTTATGTTAAAAAATCTGAGGGTTTAATGTCACTTTAATGACAGGGTGACAGTGGCCGCATCTGTCCGTGACTATCCGCATGTAATCATACATGGTATGATCACATGTGTAACAGGAGAAATGTTTGTCCCAGGGTGCAAAGAGCTTGTGTCCCGAGAAAAGCATTGTTCTCCTCCCTTAGAGGTGCCAATGTTCCCCGTTGACAGTGCATTATTTCTGGGATAGAGTGCCGGTCTGTGTCTTGGCTGTGAGATGCAGGGCAGCCGCTTCAGTTCTCTCCCCAACTTGAACTTATGCTGAAGATGAAGAGGACTTCCATAGTCACGTGACCACTAATATTCACAGCTAGCTAAGATAAATGAAAAGCATATTTTGGGGATAGGATATGCTTTATGCTTTAAAGAAGATCTCTGCTAAGCACTGTTTAGATGTAAACTGGAGACAAACCTAAACCCAATGCAAATTTAGAATAGTAATATCAGTTTTTGTAAAATAATAATCTCACTTTGCTTCCTTTATCAGTAAGGCTGAGTTCACACCTGGGCGTTTTTCAGTGCTGATCGAAGCGCTAAAAAACGCTCAAAAAGTGAAATCCTATTAATCCCTATGGGCATGGTTCCCACCTGGGCGTATTTCAGCGCGATTTGTTGCGCTGAAAAAAGCCCTAGCGCAAAAAAGTACTTATTTTTTGCACGTAGGGGCAGATTTCAGCGCGTATATTAAACAAAAAACACTGCGCTATCTCTAATATTATAAAACTCTAAGTGCATATACAATTGTCCACTCCAACTTTTTCAGCGCGTATCCATTGGTATTCCCGAGTGTGGCTCGGGGTTAATTTTCTGTACCAAAGCGGTAACCCCGAGCCACACTCGGGAATACAGCGTAGGTCTAACCTTGCTGTGTCCTCCGCCCGCTGCCGGCATCCATCTTCCGGGTTCCGTTCCTTGCCAGCGTCTGCGTCGCAGGGGGGCGGAACCGTCGGGAAGTTTAAAAAAAAAAAAAAAACGAAAAACAGAGAAAAAAAGGAAGGAAAAAAAATCATACCGCAAGGGAGGTTAAAAAACGAGCATCGAACGCGCGTTTCATTGGAGAGAAAAATGTGCTTCAAATGCAAGGGAAAAAACGCGCATACAATGCGGCTATTCGGAGCGCCCAGGTGTGAACCCAGCCTAAGGGACGTGATACTATTAAAAACAATTTGGACCTGTGTATGCCATACCTGGGCAGTTTTGAATCCGGAACGAAAAACAAACTGCTTCCGTTAACCACTAGGATATTTTGCTCCATTATGTGTCAATGATGAAGATGGATAGGTGGGGACAGGCGCCTTATAACATGGTGGGCACAGACAACCAGATATTCTAGATGTTTGGTTCTGCTGACTTATTCATATATTAGCAGCCATCTCTGTTCCAGTAACTGAGACGACTTGATCAATGGATCAAATTTATAAATCTAAGTAGTTCTGCCCTCATAATGTACGATTAGAATTTATATTTGGATCACATTGTTGCGTATTGGTTGTTCACATTGCAGGTACACGTCATGCAAAGCCTTCCAGAACACACTGAACGAAATGAGTGACTACGCCGGGCAGCATGAGCTCATCTCGGAGAACATGTCGTCACAGATTATGACAGAGCTTACGCGCTTCGTGCAGGAGCAGAAACAGGAGAGGAAATCGAAACAGCTAAATCATGTAGGATCCTCACAAGCCCATTTAATGAACCTGTAGTTTTTCCATTCAGCCCAGGAGGTGTGCTGAGCATCTCAGCTGCTTCTGGACAGTTGTTGTGTTTGGGTGACTAGAAGAAGCAAACATGAGCCCATCAAAAGTACAGTTGAGTGGAGATAAAAAATTCTACCTTGCTATTTTTCATTTTGGTATAGCTGTAGTACCACAGACCACCCCCTTTAACCCCTTCATGACTGAGCTCGTTTTTCGTTTCTGTTCGTAAATGACTGACACACTTTTGACATTTTTGCTGTGTGATTCTTCCACGTCAGTAATATACTTTCTTACAAAGTGCACCCACACATATTATATATTGTTTTTTAGAGGACAGATAGGGCTATATATTTATATCACATATGTGTGTCTAACGCCTCACTTAGGACAAATAAAATATAAAAAAAGAGGAAAAAATATTAAAAAAACACTTTTTTCCCAGTTTTGATTCGTAGTATTTTTTTTTTTACAAAACCAGCACAGCTAAAAAAAAAATGCAATAAATACATTCATTTATTTGTCCTTTATTTTTTTTACACTTTTCACTTTTTTTTTTTTACACTTTTCACTATTTTTTAAACTTAAAAATGTTATTTTATTTATTTAATTTTATCAAGCAGTCATTGTGAATTAATCTCACTATTACTGCTTGATAAATTAATACATTTTTGGTTATTATCAGGCTGCTTCAAACTTCAGAACAGCCGATAATAAGTTAGTGACACTGATCCTGCAGCAGTTCAGGATTCAGCCTGTCACTAAAGGTTTTCTGATTGTTGCAACAACGATCAGCAAACTGAAACATTCTTCTTTCACCAATAGATACATTATGTATCTATTCCTGAAAGTGAAAGAAAAAAAAAAGCCAGTATAGCTTGAGAGAGATATCTCTCGATCTATACAAGCTGTCAGAATGCCGGCTCTGCTGTGACTCTCAGACACCCGATCTTCAGGTATCGGGTGTCTGAAAAAGGTTAACCCTTTCATTAATGGATGCCTCTAAACTTAAGGCATCCATTAATGAATAATAACCGCTGATTCTCAGTGGTTACCAGCCTTCTAGTGCAGCAAATAACTCGTCACGTACAGTGTACGTGACGAGTCATTTGGTCCCTTTGTGGCGGGACGTACAGTGTACGTCTCCCGTCACGAAGGGGTTAATGGATACACAACTGGATTAAAGGATGTCTTTTTTAATATGCTTTCTGACTTTCCCACAGTTGCAGTGTTTCCTAGAAAACATAAGCTCTTTACAGATGTAGTTTTCCTGTTGCCTGGAGTTGCCTTTTTTGTAATAATGATGAACTTGTTGCATTGTTATAACTGAGAAAACAGAGTGTTGGTCCAGTAGTGTGTGTACCTAAACCAGCTCCACATTTATCTCTTTGCATAATGTTTCGATTTCAAAGTATTTTAGTGGTTTTAAAATTTAATACATTATTATTATTATTACATAGTATTTACTATGTAATACATAAATAGAAATAATAGAGGATAAATGATCACACTTGTTATACAACCAAGGAACAGAAGCAGGCTACTGTACGTAACACATTAAGGATTTCCTCACATGGGTATCGTGAAGTGTACAAATAAAGCAGGTACATTCTATCAGGAGAAGGCATTATTCCAATGTCGACCACAGAATCATAAGGAGAGCACAAGTGGACAACAGTCTCCTATGATCCGGTGTCAAAGATCATTAATACGAGGGGAGTAAGGTGAGAGAAAGGGAAGGAAAAGCAGCAGGGTCACAGTAAAGAGGGGGTAGAGGGGAAAGGGTAGCACCAAGGTCTCTTAAGGTGATGTGTAGCCTACATGTCCAGAGGACTAAACGTATGTTAAGCTCTCAAGGGGAAGGTCAGGGTGCGCATAGGAGATCCATGGGTTCCAAACTTTCTGGAATTTCTTCTGTGAGTCCAAGAGGATACTAGAGAGCTTCTTTGCATGATGTTTAATGCTGGATAGTGGGCCATTATGGGAAATCCCAGTGATTCTGTGCCAGAAGTACATTGCATTGCTTTCAGGTCCCATCTGTACTGTGAATGTGATGGTGGTGTGTTTATTGAATGATGGTTGAAATGTTTCTGTTAGGCTTTTATTTAATTGAACTTGCTGGGAAAGGTTTTCTTGTCCCTGTAACGCCAGTGCAAGAAATAAGGGGTGCAGTTTTCACTGGAACAGGAAGTACAGAGAGTAATAAAGACTATAAGGGGGAATTATCAAAACTGGAGCAGATGTGCAGGGCAACCAATTGGCTTCTCTCTTCCATTTTTTAATCTTAACTGAACAAACTAAAGATTGGTTGCCATGGGCAAACTGCTCCAGATTTTTGTCTGCTCCAGTTTTGATAAATCCCCCCTTTTATGTTTTAAATCTTCCTCACGCTTTTCTCGTGTCAGACTGCCTCTGCCATTCTAGATATTTCATCCTGTCATTGTGTGCTGTACCCCATTGCTTCAGTAACTGTTACTGTGTGCATACTTTGAAGCTGTGCAAAGCTACATGTGATCATGTGGTTTTTCAGACCTGCGTCTTTCACCCTTTTTACATTCGTGGCACTTTTTTAAATTATGCAAAATCTCAAGGCACCCCAGTGCAAAATGTAAATGTAAGAAATGACCTGTGGTCCCCCCTTATCCTACACAGGGGTCTGATATTGATTTCACGGGGGGACCCTGGGCAAAAAAAATCAGAGAAAAGATGTTTTGTTTTCCCGTTTACATCAGAATCCTCCCTTTAGTGAAAATTTGAAGGCACCCCTGACAAAGCCAAAAGGCACCCCAGGTTGCCACAGCACCTTGGTTGAGAACGGCTTTTCAGATCACATATGATACAAATTTCGGTGACGAGATCTAGATAGAATCCCAGGTGACAGCAAGGACATTTGTGGATCAAATCACAGTCAGTTTAGAGAAGTGCCATTCAATAAATTTGTAACATTTTTATACGCATTCAGTATTAAAAGTGAACCTAAAATTGGAATATAATTGTAGTACTCTCCACCCTCTAATAAAATATACATTTCTTGTCTGCATTGTGAAAATCTGTGCTGTACAAGGAGACATTTTCATAGATGAAGGGAAATACATAATATCTAATGAAGCGTGTCTGTGTGAGAGCTGAGCCTGCAGGGCTACGTTCCGTAATTCTAGGTCACAATTCCCAGGCGGCCTTCAATCCGCGTGTGCCAGGGTAATATGGTTAGAGAGTGATTGAATAATGCACTATAATACACAGGGATACTTCTCAGCGCAGCTCAGCCAGCTGCCAAGGAGTCTGGGTCTCTTAAAAGTGTCCGTTAAATAACTCGTTCCCTGTGTATCATCATTTCCCACAGCTACCGACTCCCACCGGTTAACTATTTGAAGCAAAAATTCTCTACAGCAAAGGGCGTACGGGTAAACGTACGCAGGTACATTTAAAGGAGACCTGTCAAGGTTTAGATCACATTGCTGCATAAGATTGGGCGCACATGAGCGTGTTGAGCTCCTACTGTTGCCTTAGATTGGGCGCACGTGTGTGTTGAGCTACTACTGCTTCCTAAGATTAGACACACATGGGTGTGTTGAGCTACTACTGCATCCTAGGATTAGGCAAACATGGGCATGTTGAGCTACTACTGCTGCCTAAAGGTGCCCATACACTGCACGATTCTCGTATGAGAATCGCGGGAAATCCCGCGATTGTACGGGAATCGTGCAGTGTATGGAAGGCGTGCAACCGTTTCTACTGTACGGTCGCACGTCTTCCGTCGAACCAGCATGCTAGAAAACCCGCCGGGAATTGTACGATTCTCGGCGAGTTAGTGGCCTGATGGTTCGACAACTGCCGAACAGGCCGGTGTGCGCACGCGCACACTGCCCGTTTGCAGTCATCGTAAGCCCGCCCCTCATTACAGTCATCGGAAGTCCGCCCCTCAGGGGTGCGTGCTTGCGATGATCACAAGTACGATCTGCCTGTCCAAGATGGGCAGATCGTACGTTTTTTTAAGTACTTTAACACCTTCGCAAGACAAAAGTCTTGCGAGGGTTGTAAAGTGTATGGGCACCTTAAGATTGGGCGCTTATAGGGGTATTGAGCTACTATGGCTGTATAAGATAGGGAACACATGGGTGTGTTGTGCTCCTGCTGCTGCCTAAGAAGCTGCATAAGCTCCTACTGTGCACATATGCTGCTAAGCCAGTTAATTCCTATGACTGGAGCCTTACTGCTCTGGAATGCTGGAGGCCACCATTAAAACGGACCATCCTTGGAAATTAATGGAGTGAGCAGTACTCATGCAGAGTAGGAGCTGAAGGCGGTCCAGAATGGGGCAGGGTTGCACAGTCAAGAACATAGGAGTTAAAGTGACATTAAACCCTCAGATTTTTTAACATAAACCAATACTGTAATGTGTGCCTTACTGTAATCCATGGTAGTTTCCCTTCTCTTTGCTGCTCTTCCTTTTAAATCTGTATCTCTTCTCATGCTGGGGAGAACTTCAGGAATCTGAGGCTTGATAAAGAGGCAACCCCTCGAAACGCGTAGATTCCTGAGGCTTGATGTGGGGGAGCCCCTGCAGTGGGGCTCCCCCACATTACAAGGGTTAACTGACCATTGTGGTCCAGGGGTATTGTGAACAGGACTTTTACTTACCTAATCCCCGCTCTCCTGGCCGTCGTCAGTGCTCTCCCCCCTCTGCTCCAACTCGTGGACTGTCCCTCTGTGAGCCATAAAATGTAGGGCTATTCGCCCTGCTTTAGAAATGATGACGTCAGTAGGCCGCTGGAGCGGAGGGGGTAAGAGGCTGTGGGTGCCGGTCTTGGATCCTGTAGGAGCGGGGATCAGGTAAACAAAAGTACTTTACTCTGGTCCCCTAGACCCTTGGTTCTCAACTGGTGGGTCGTGACCCAAAAGTGGGTCGTGACCCTGTGTTTAGTGGGTCGCCACATGTCTTCCACCTTTCTAGGGGAGAAGCTCCTCAGCCT